CTTTCTCATTATCGGTGCCCTTATCAACATCATTCCGAGCCGTCGCTGGCTCTGAGCTTGACGTTCATGATCACCGACCACTCTCCATAGTTGGTGCGAGTCGGCGTCGGCAATCCAGGTGCCACCGACCTCCGCACCCGCATGACGAACAACGACCTCCGATCGTGGTTGGGCAGCCACAAAGATGCCTCTCTCTCATTGCCCATCTCCGAACCGCTCGTCATCGCCAAATGGTTAGTCCGCAACAACGGCGCTTGTACTACTCTAATACCACTTGTTGGCCCAAAGGATCACCGGCTTAGGTGAGTGAACCACTCACCAGTCTTGCCGAGCACCCGCTAGTGTTGCCGATCACCCACTAGCCATGCCGACCACGAAAAAGCGTTGTCCGTCCCCACACACTATGGTCAAGCTAGAAGAAGAAGGAGAACAGAGCATGCATACACAATACAAGACACCAAATATGGCGAAGCCCATATGGGAGATGACAAATCTGAACTCTCTTTATTGAGTTATCGTGGTGGTCTATTTATAGAACTCTATCTATCTAGTCCTAGTATAGCGCACATGTCTTTATGTGATAACTAGATAACATACATGGTCTGGCTCTCACGCAGCATCTGCATGTAGCTACATTACTACTCTGGTGAGCTGCGACGCACCTGCCTGCTGCGCGCGCATCTACATGTGGCTACAACGCCGCACGACACCTGCACCTCTGACAGTATCACAGCAGGGGGGCTTTCGCCGCCGCCTTCCCTTGCTGTGTTCACACAAGAAAAAAACAGTAGTTTATTCTAACAAGAAGGTGCTGCGCTGTGGTTACACCGCCGTCGCCCTTCGGTTCCGACGCTGAGTTGGTGTAGATGAAGCAGAGCATGGCTCCGAGGATCGCGGCATCCATGTCCTTGATCTCGACGCGCTGATCGCTTCTCCTTCATGTGGCCGAAGAACTCGGCCATGAAGAATGGGGACCTTGAGGCCAGTATGGCCTTGTGCGCCGCGAAGGACTCTCCGGCCGTGACGAGCGTCACGTCGGATCCCGTCCCCTTGTGCAGGAGCTCACCGAGGTGGTGGTGCAAGCCGGAGGATGGGACTAGATCATCTGCTGGGCGTGGGCAATGAGTGGTTGCATTTTTGTCGAGTTCTCTGAGCACCGCGAGGGTGCACTCCACGACGAATGCATCGTCCTTGAGATAACCTGATGTTTGAAAAAGATCTCTTCTCATGAGGGCACCTCCATAATGAGAATCTCCTGAACGCTTGACGTGATGTGACACGGAATACCCTTGAGATGGCTTCAGCTCCCCGCTTGGATCTATCAACCGATAGCCAAACGTCGCCTTCACATTACTAATGTCCCGGGGCATCTCACCACGGAAGTAGAGATTAAGTGCAATGCAATTGCCAAGGAACTCGAAATACTTTTTTGGAAGCACATGAACCTCCCACTTATAGCCGCCAGCGTTACATACCCTCGATCTGAGAACTTCGCCGTCGGACATGGCATATGTCAAAGAAAATCCTTGGATCTTGATCTGCTTCGACGAGCGAACAACCTCGGTAAGAGTTTCCATGGTTTGGAGGCGAGCTGGGATTTGGGAGTGTGAGAGCGGTGGAGGCGAGAGTTGTTTCGCTTCTGTGTTGACTGTTGAGAGGATGAAAAATGTAGTGAAGTTTTTCGGCTTCTCATCTTAATAGTAGTGAAGTTTTTGCGTTTATATGCACCGCTTTTAGACCGTGACCGTTAAATGCTTGGGCTTATTTGACAACTGTATCCCAGTAGCCTATGAGGCCCAATAGGCCGTGCGAGCTAGGAGAGTTAAGCGTTATACAAGCCCCATCGAGCAGTTGGGCTAACCCAACGGATCGAGCCTACAAATTAAAACAAATGGTTAGAGATAGATAGATCATGATACTACCTCCATCTCGAAATTTCCTAAAAAAACCCTCCATCTCAAAATAAATCAATTTCATTCTAAAATTATTCAAGTTTATCTAACATTATAGAAAATGGTAATAACATCAATAACACCAAATAAATATATTATGAAAATATATTTCATAATGCATCTGGTGATATTAATTTGATGTCATAATTTTTTATGCACTTTTTTATAAAGTTATTTAAATTTGAAATAATTTAACTTAGGACAACTATATAAATAAATTTCATTTTGGAGTTTGGGCCGAAGGAGTAAGAAGAAGCCATGTATTACTTCTTCTCTTTTTTGGATCCGCCTCTCCTGCCAACATTACTTGGGCCTGAAACCACCAAGGAAAATAGCTAAATTGCCAAGAAGAAGGCTTAGTGGTGGTCAACCGTCAAGCATAACCCGTCAAGGGTAGAGGATAAGTTAAATTAGTTTCCTTGGTAGTTCTAGCGGTCAAGGATGGTCTACTTAATTGGAGGCAAGCCCTCATGGATAATAGGGTGGGGTCTAATTTGTAATGTGGACAAGGAAATTACTTCAGATGGTACAAGCACCAAGGATTTCATATTCTTGAGGGCCGACCGAGTTAATACTTACTAGCACGGTAGGCGCGCTTACGCTGCGCCCACCGTATTAGGTACTGTAAATGAGCAGTTGTTTGTCAGTAAAATCATTAGCCCGCGGTTGTTTGCTACATGCCAGAAGCTTAGTATCTTAACAGTGAGCACGTCAGGTTTGATCCCATGTAACTAAAGATACTAATCCTTCATAGTTAGAATATATTGAGCCATGAAAATATGCATAAAGATCTATAAAATGTGGTGAAGCTGAACATAGCATAATATAGTGTGGAATAGTCGACATCACTATATAAGGTATACAAATAAAAATGAATATCTCATCTTGGTGAGGATTACAAATATGGGCAAAGGGAGCTTTGCTGCTAAATATCTATTTCTTTCACTGTTTCCCGTAGTCCCAAAATCTTGAAATGGTATATAAAAAGGGGAAACACAAGTTGAGCTGTAATATCAAAGAAACGCATGAATAATGATCATATAACCTTGTGAGTCAACTCTCAAGACTCAAGTTGAGCTGTAATATCAAAGAACCGCATGAATAATGATATGAGATCATCAATTCTCGCGTCTCTCACCAAAGCAGCTAAGTTTTCATCTTGAAGAAATTAAACGATTTTGTGTCTGCATCCCAAAGGCACACCTGAAATACAATAGGTAGTTATTAATTTAGATCTTGTCCAAGCATGGTCAGAGAGGGAGTGAACATGCAAACAACAGCATCCTTAATTGTTCAGAAAACAGAGGCTAAACATAACTGTATGAAAAACAGGAGCCGCCACAGTCAAAGAGGGTTGTTGGCGAGGCGCTTGAGTCGGCCGCAGTACTCACCGACGGTCATGTCGCCCTGGAATAGACTATGGAATTCCTGTTGGGCGTACACGGTGCACTGGAGGCTGTGGTCGAGGAACTGGCGGGTGATCGCCGTCCACGCAGTGTAGGCCAAGGCGCTCGGCTTGTAGACGTCGCTCCAAATGTCCTTGGACGCAGTGGAGTAGAGCCAGGAGATGATGCAAAAGTCGACCTAGAGAGCCATTTCGGGTCATTGAACATGGCGGCGGTGTCAACCGAGCCATCGACATGGCTGATCGATCAGGCCAAACTTCTTGAAGGTGAGCTCAAAGAAGGATCTCAACTACCTGAAGTTGCCGTCGTCCGTGGAGAGGATGACAGAAACATGGCTGTCGATGTTGAGCAACACGAGGGTAGAGCACGGGAGGTGGTCCGGGGTCGTTGGGCATGCGAACAGGTTGGTGGCCACCGATGAAGAGGAACTGGAGTCAGTCGGGCTCGCCATGGCGAGGAGTAGGAGCAGCGGAAGGTGTGGATCAGAAAGCGATAGATACCATGTAAGAGAAGATCAGTTGGAGAGAACGCTTAATTCATTCATTTGACAGAGAATCACTGCTGGCCAAGCAATCCTAGGTTGCCTAGAAGCGGGATCAACACAAGAATGAGTAGCGCCCATGTGGCCGCTAATAGAAGGCACACATGCAACTGATGGACTCTAACTGAAGAGACCTGATCCTATGCTATCTAGAAATAGGTTGCTGGCACCTGTAAGCTCCGCCACAGTGGCGGGTTCACAGTTGCCCACTAGCGCTTCTTTTGGTTTGTCGAGCACAGCACAGGACGGTGATCGCACACTGTATTTTGTACTCATACGAGAAGGAAAAGGAGTCAGTTTTGATCTAGCCGCTGCCAGAAGATGCCAGTTTCGGCCTTGCAATTTGACAGCACCGAAATCCTTTGCTTGTCCTAGCCACTGGTAGACGAAATATTTTGAACAAACTCTTGTAACGTACCTCTAAAACACTTGCAACATATATATGTGCAACATCCGTCGATCTACTTTTGCAACATCAAAATAAAACAATTACAACATACATCTGAAACGTCTGAAACATTTAAAACATATATACGCAACATAGGGAAGAGAAAAGCCGGGCCGATCGATTCCGGCCGTTGGAGTGGGAGCCGATGGCGAGCCCCGACGCATGAGCACCACCAACACCTGCCGCGCTCGTAGGTGCCCTTGGCTTGGTGGGGGAAGTGTCACGGGACGGACACCCGCGACGTCATCATGGGGCAAAAAAATTCCACGATGTGCCAATCTTTGGCTGGTACAAATTCAAAGTAACTTCAAATTAAAGGGGAAAAACGCAACCAGATGATGACAATATGCTAAACGTTGTATTAAACAGAACGTCGATTTAAGAAGTTTATATATGATCCTTGATCACAAAAATACACGGGTGTGCCAAATCTTTTGCCGGTAGAAATTCAAAGAAACTTCAAATCAAAAGGGGAAACGCAACCAGATGATGATATACACATAGTCACAGAGACGGAGACAACAGACAAGACAAGTCCTTCGCTGAAATCATAATTTGAGAGCAGATATATAGTAGTAGTAGAAGAGGTGCACCAAATCCTGGGACGAGGATTATATATTGATGAGGAACCATCGATCAATCGATATACCTCATCAATTCTTCCTTCCACGCGCAGACTTGAGGAGTTCAGCCAACACCAACGGGCAGCTGGCCGCGAGATGCGCGTACCCCTCCGTCGCCAACACGGCGTCGAGCGTTTCAGTGGACCCAGTGACGAAGTCGACGCACTTGGCCTTGAGCAGCGCGCAGCCATGCTGCTCGGCCAGCGCCAGCGTCGTGGCCGCGGTGCCGACGTCGACGCGGCCAGCGAGCTTGGCCTCGCAGATCGCCTTGAGCCTGTCGAGCCCGTACCTGTCAGCCGCCGCCAGAAGGTTCTGGGCCATCGTCACCGCCGCCGCCGGCTCGTCGTCATCGAGCTCTGGTGGCGCCACGTCGGTGTAGACGAACGAAGCGAAGCATGGCCTCGAACGCCGCGGGGTCCACGTCCTGGACCTCCACGACCCGAGGGGTCCGCTCCTCCATGCAGCCGAAGAACTCAGCCATGAAGACCCGAGACCTCGCGGCGAGGACGCTCTTGTGCGCCGGAAACCGCTCGCCACCGGACGCGAGCAGGAACGTGACGTCGGCGCCCTTCTGGCTCTCAAGAGCTCGCCCAGGTGCTTGTGCAGGTCAGAGGATGGCGTCGGCGGAGGCACCTCCTCCTCCTTGGTGGCCGGGAAGACTACCTCCGGTAGCTCTCTGAGCACGGTGATGGCGCACTCCACCGTCAAGGAATCGTTCTCGAGATAGCCCGGTGCTATCTCGTCACGCTTCTCCAGGAGCAGGGCTTTCGTCTGCTCTCAGCGATGGTGAAATACATGGGAGATACTGTCCCCTTCGGATGGTTGAAGACGCCCGCTCGGATCCACTAGCCGGCCAGTGAAGTGTGCCCTGACCTCGACGGTGCGAGGTTTGCTGAGGATGATGAGCCTCAGAGCTACCCAACTCGACCTGCTGTAGTCGTATTCAGGGTAGACGCGAACCTCCCACTCGTACCCGTCGACGTTCCATGTGGATCCGATGTAATCTTTTTGGCTCATGCTCTCGGTTGCAGAGTAGCCGTCGATCTGGAGCAGCTGCACCGAGCGTGCGGCTTCGGTGATCTTTGTGATGGCAGTGGCAGGTTTCATGGCGAAGGCTGTTGCAGAATAGCGGAGGAGCAAAGGGTTTGGGCAATGGTGGGAAGCAGGGGATTGAGATCATACGCTAGCTCTTCGATTACCCGGTCGCCTACCATTTCTTTATACAGGGCTCAAGCTCAACCTGCGGCTCCTCCAGTGGAAAATGGAGAGGCATCCATTCCTACGAATCAACGACGCTCCAGCTTACTTAGGGCTGTCCCAACGAAAGAAACCAGTAGTTTTTATAATATAGGACACCGCACTAAAAAAATATTGCTTTCCAACCTATGATTTCTATGAGTAATAATTATTTTCTCTTTCTCTCTCCCAACTCTATCTTCTTCCTTCAATGAGAGTGCGACACGAGCTCCCTAGAAACTGATGGTTTCTCCCCAATGGTGATTTCATAGTTTCTTGGTGCATTGGGTCAAGAGTAGATCTGATTTCTTCATGAGGAAACCATTTCTATGATTTTTGCTCTCTTTCTTCATTAATTACGTTACCATGTCAGCATTTTACCTACGTGGCAAGTCATTTAATGAGGATAGAAACCATCGTCAATGCACTATTGGGACTGAACAAACTAGTGATTGATTAGTACAAATTTACAATCAATGCATCATAAGACCATGCGTCACCACTCCCTTGTTAATTACTGCTACTCAACTTGTGCTCTCTGGCGTTCCCTATCCCCAAACGCCGCCGCGAGCACTTGAATCTGGAAAGGCGTAAGGGGAACGGTAGTAGTACCAACTGATAGCCGCTGAACATGAGCGAGTTTTGGGCGAAACAGGAGGGGTGTGGTGTGACCGTGTGACCTCGTACTAGAATTTTATTGAAAAGGGTAAAAGGTACAATGCACCAAAACAAAGCTCAAGAAACATAATAAAAGGACAGAAAGAAAATAGATAAAATTACATAAAAGCTTCTAGCCATAATCTATCTGAGGGAGTGACGGTGATACTTCGCTTTTGCTTTGTATAACTAGAGTAAATTCTTTCTTGAAAACAGCCTTGCACCTTTGGACTGAGTCAAGAATGTTGTTGAAAATGGCCAAATGGCCTTATTGCTCTAAAAAGGGTTTTGGGGCTCTTATGTAGTTGCAATTAAAGGAGCACTCTGCTCATGGCATGCGTGCGCATACATGCATGACAAGCACAAAATGGCAACTGATGCAATTAAGCCCCAAATGACAAGCACAAAACGAGATCTAATAACCACATATGGCAACTGAAGATTTGAAGCAGCAAGCTAGCTGCCCATGTCATAATACATGAAAGGCACAAAAGGAGAATAACGGCTACTAGAAATTAAGCAACTTGAAACTAAAAGGGGGGAAATCAACTGCAAGTACTAGTGCATCGTGATATAGCAGTCATATAGGTCACACATCTTAGGGAAATCATAAAGAAGCAACTAGCAATACTAGGCAGATAGTACTAATATTAGGACACAGGGACTGGCAACGAAAATCACCATCTTAGCTCAGATCTTCCTACCACGCGCGGCCCTCAGTAGTTCAGCGAGGACCAAGGGGCAGCTTGCCACCAGATGCGCGTAGCCATCAGTTGCCAAGACAGCATCAAGAGTTTCAGGCGACTTGGTGACGAACTCAATACACTTGGATTTGAGCAGCGAGCAGTGGTGCTGCTCGGCGAGAGCCAACGTCGTAGCCGCTGTGCCGATGCCGATGCCGCCAGAGAGCTTGCATTCACATATCTGCTTGAGCCTGTTCAGCTCATACCTGTTAAATTTACAGAAGTTAATTATAATCTCGTATACACATGCATGGTGATGCTATTGCTATAGTACTGTAAATGTCATATTGTGTAATCTCGTATACACATGATAACCCATTCTGAAAGTGAAAAGAAACCTTACCTGTCAGCAGCTACCAGGAGGTGCTGAACCATGGTCGCCGCTGCCTGAGGCTCCTGGTCACCGTCGAGCTCCGGAGCCATGTCCGTGTAGATGAAGTGAAGCATGGACTTGAACACAACAGCCTCCATGTCTTCGATCACCACATACTCGGAGCTTGTTTCATCCATGTCTCCAAAGAACTCGGCCTTGAAAACCGGGGACCTTGCAGCGAGTATGGCCTTGTGGGCGGCAAAGGATTCCCCAGAGACATGAAACCTGACGTCCGCTCCTTCCTGGCTCTGCAAGAGCTCACCGAGGTGCTTGTGCAGGTCCGAGGGTGGCGGCACTGGCAGGGGCTGCTCCTCATCATCTGCTCCTAGCACGGTGATTGTGCATTCCACGGTCAGTGAGTCATTCACGAGATAACCTGATGATGGTACCTCGTGTTTCAGCATGAGGAGAACTTCAGGCGAGCATTTGGAGCGACGGTCAAATACATGGGACACACTCTTCTCTTTGGAGGGATTGAGATGCTGGCTGGGGCTTACAAGCCGGCAGCTCAGATTCACCTCAGCTTGTCCCTCTGGGGTTCACTGACGAGGATGAGCTTCAGAGCGACCCATTCGACGCAGTCGTAGAATATGGATCTGACGTCCTCGTCGTCCAGGGGCTCGCAGTGATCAGGATAGAAACGGACCTCCCACTCGTGGCCATCGACGATCCATCTGGATCTGGGTTTGATGAACTCCTCTGACCCCACCATGGTAGAGGTGGCGGAATAGCCGTCAATCTTGAGCAGCTGCACCGAGCGCACAGCCTCAGTGACAGTCAGGTTCTTGCCGTCATGTTCCATGGTGGAGGCCTCTCAGTTAGCACAGAGTAGAGGAGACAACGGATAATATCCAGAAGATTCTCCGAGTCAATATGAAATGGATTCGAGGGGACCTGGTTTAACTTCAACTGCAACGATAAAAAAAATCTCTCCAGTGATCTATAAAACTAAAATGTGTCGAGTTCATCGGAAAAACCAAACAGATAATTGAAGTTGAATGAAAATCTGGGGACGCGGGTTACCTTCACCCCGTCCGGCGCCGGCGTCCCGGCGAGGACTGGACCGTCGGTGTGCGGTGAGAACGTGAGATCGACGGCCGCCCGACCGTCGGTGTGCGGCGCAGGTCAGTGTTGACGGGCAAGTGACGAGGAATCGATCTGGGCGTTGTCGTCAACTCGTCAATGGGGGGGAAAGCAGAGGGAGTGGGGAAATCCAACGTCAAAAGTTTTCTTTTTTTTTAAAAAAAAAGAACTAACGTCAAAAGTAGAGTACGTCGCACATGGCTCCCCAAAGCAACAAAAGTAGAGTACTCCGGCTCTGCTGCCAAAGTATTTTCGAAAGAAGACATAAGTGTACGCCGAGACGTTTAAAATTTATCCACGAATCTATACCTAATATAACGGAGATTTCAAATTTATCCACCAATCCATACTCCCTCCGTTCAAAAAAAAAATGTAATTCTCGATTCTTGAGAAGTCAAACAATTTAAACTTTAACTAAATTTATATACAAAATACTAACATTTATAATACAAAATAAGTATCTTTAAATTAGTTATAGAATATATTTTTATAATAAATTTATTTTAAGACATAAATGCTAATATTATTTACTATACATTTGATAAAATATGAGCTAGTTTACATTCTTTTTTGTGAATAGAGGAGTACTTAATTATAACAAAAATTCTATCATCCTTCTCGCAATCTACGCGTCTATCCGTCTGTCACTTTGAGGATCACCACTCTTATTCTTCTCGCTTTGAGTTTAGAGTTGCAAAACCTTTGTTCACGTCACACTGCTTATGTCATGTTCTAATACCCAGTCCTCATTCACACCTGTGCATATGGCTCCCCTGTCACCTTTCAAACTCATAACATGTGAATATAATAACTACCCATTTAAGTTGAATCAATCTACTGTGAAATTTCCATATATAATTAATCATTTATTGCACAAACATTTATTATGAGGTTTGGAATTTATTTTACTTAGGACTTGTTTGGCTACACTCATATTCAACTTAATCAACATATGTTGGGTTAAATTAGGGTGAAAATTAAACAAACTTACACCCTAATCCATCACACAACACGTATGGATTGAGCTGAATACAAGTGTACCCAAACAAGCCCTTGAGACAAGATCAATTAAATCCAATAAAAACGGCTAGCTAGCTTATTATCATTAGCATGAGCACAAGCAACAAATTATGTATCGCTGCAATGCATATGCATGTTTTTGTCTTATATCTTTACACAAATTCTATTGCACGTCCTATGGCATGTTTAGGGTCCCTTTGGAATGCAGGAATGAGAAATCACTTGAATAGGAAAAATACAGGAATAATACAGAAATGCATATGCAATCCTAAGGAACTGAAACCATAGGAACTATGTAGGGCTCCTTTTTTTTGAACCGAGGGAGATCCCCCATTTCCATTAGAGACATAACAGAAATACATCATCCAGATAAAGTGTTAGGAGAAGCAAGCTAGAAATCTAAGAAGCTGTCTACGAGGATTACCCAGCTCTACTCACAGCATACCAACGCCCATTTATCAACCAGAACACCCTAATCAGGCTAAAAAACCAACACTGTCTAAGTAACACGGTTAGAGGGATTACTACAGAAGTATCATCACAGCAGAGACCAAAAAAGGCATCAGACAACCATCGCAAAAGAAGTCAGCCATCAATATGACATCATCACATGAGCCCGCTTTAGTCCTCCTGACTATCATCACTGCCCTCCTCTAGTAGCTGCACCAAGCCTTGCTTCGATTTCTTGTTCAGAAACTTCCTCGCAATCTGCATCATTGTATTGACGCCAGCCAGCAATATTTCCTTGTCTTCCGCCATGTACAGTCGCCCAATAGCTCATAAGCGGCATAAGCATAACATACACATTATATAGGATTTTGGATAAGTTTGCCTTCAAAACATATCTTGTTCCTGGTTTTCTAGATGGCCCAACAGATGGCCGCAATTCCAAGAGTGTGAAATTTTTTCTCACCAGAGGAAGCCATGACTCACACCATGCCCAGCTCGATTCGGAGATCGGGGAATGTTATTAGCACCAATGCAGGTAGCAATAGTCGCCCACACCGCTCTAGTCACACTACATTGAAAGAAAAGATGAGTAGCAGTTTCATCTATGGGATGTAGTAGCAAAGTGGGTGTCCGGACCAATTCCTTTTAACATATTATCATTAGTAAGAATTGCATTGTTCGAACCATTCAAAGGAAGATTTTAATCTTAGCTGGAATCTTTCCTTTCCAAATTTTCTTTTCATAGAGACCATTATCATTAGAGGTAAGAGCATTATAGAAGATTTAATCGTAAAATGACCTTTACCACCAAATTTCCAAATCACCACATCAACAACAAATTTTAAAGGGGTATTAGCGAGTGTCAAACATAATGTCATCCCATTGTAATTTCCACCCATCAACTGGCCACCTAGAAAAGGTAAGAGATTGAGGGTTCTATTTCACATCAACCAAAGTAATATCCTGCTTTGTTGAGACATTTTGAAGAGATCGAGAAAGAGCTGAGCAAGGGGTTGATCATATAACCACCTATCTTTTCGAAACAAGATTTTCTTATCATCCCCAATTATGAATTTCTTCCCTTGCAAGTAAATATCTCTAATTTTCATAAGATCACCAGATAGGGAATCATGCACTGTGCTTTCACAAAGGCAGAGATGGAATCATTCTTCAAGTATTTAAATTTAATGATTTCTTGCCATAGCCTAGTTTCATTATCAATTTTCCAAAACCACTTGCATAATAAGCTGAGGTTCATCTTCCTTATGTCCTTAATACCTAAGCCACCTTTTTTCTTACTTTTACAGATTTTTGTCTACCGAATCAAGTGATATTTCTTTTTTGTTCCACCCCCCTGCCGAAAGAACGTTCTTCTTATCTTATCCAGTCTATTCACTACAGTTTTGGGTAACAAGTAAATGGACATTTGATATATCGGGCCATTAGTAAGACTAGAATCAATAAGAGTTTTTCTCCCAGCTATGGACATGGTCCTGTTGGCCCACAAGATCACCGGCTCAGGTGAGTTGCCCACTCACTAGTCTTGCCAAGCACCGCTAGTGTTGCTGAGCACCCACTAGCCGTGCCGACCACGAACAGACGTAGTCCGACCACACACACTATAACTAAAGCTTGAAGAAGAAGGGAGAACAGAGCATACATGTACACAGCAGAGACACCAGCGTTGGCCGGAGCCCTGTATGGGAGATGGCAAATCTGAACTCTCTTTATTGAGTTGCCGTGGTAGCCTATTTATACAACTCTATCATTCTAGTCCCAGTACAGCTGCCCTGCTGCAACAGTGACTAGATAACATACAGGGCTGACTCTGTGCCAGCCACTGCATGTGCCTACAGGTGAGCCGTGCGGCGTCCGCACCTGCAGCGGCTATAGTATCATAGCAGGGAGCCCTTTTCGGCGCCGCCTTCCCTTGCTGTGTTCACATAAGATAACAGTGGATTATCTAACAATCTTCCCCTAATCCGACTGCTAACCCTTGTACCCCCTCCATGCCGATCATCTCCTTCAGCTCCGTGAGTCGAAGACGTCCGAGTGGCTTGGTGAGGACGTCCGCGAGTTGCCGACCAGTTTCGACGAACTCGATGACGATCTGTCCTCCATCAACACAGTCCCTGAGGAAGTGGAACTTCACGTCGATGTGTTTACTCCGGTCGTGCAGAACCGGATTCTTCGCGAGGGCGATGGCAGGTTGGTTGTCCACCATCAGTGCTGGTGGGAGAGCTTCCACGCCGGTTAGCTCGCCCAGTAGCCGGCGTAGCCACACAACTTGGCACGCCGCTGTGGCCGCCGCTACGTACTCTGCCTCGCACGTAGAAATTGCCACCACCTTCCGTTTCAGCGACAGCCATTATATTAGAGCCGATCCGAGGAAGACGAGCACGCCAGAGGTGCTCTGTCGTCCGTCGATGTCCCCCGCCATATCTGCATCGCTGAAGATAGTGAGCTGCAACCTACTCCCGCTGGTCTTTGGAAAGACGATCCCGTGATCTACCGTCCCCTTGATGTAGCGTAGTAGCCGCTTCACTGTAGCCCAGTGATCCTCTTTGGGATCCTCCATGAAGCGACTGACGTAGCCCACGGCGAACGCAATGTCCGTCCTCGTGTGGACTAGGTAGCGCAGACCGCCGATGATGCTCCGGTAGAGTGTTGCATCTACCTTCGCCGCGGTGCTGGCCTTCATCAGCTTTAGCCGCTCCTCCATTGGAGTCATGCATGGCTTGCACTCAGCCATGCCGCTCCGCTCCAATAGCTTCGAGGCGTACGCGCTCTGCCCGAGCGTGAATGCCTCCCTCCCCTGTCTCACCTCGATGCTGAGGTAGTAGGTGAGCGCCCCGAGATCGCTCATTCGGAAATGAGCCGCCATCTCGTGCTTAAAGCTGCTGATGTCCTCCACATGCGTGCCGGTGACGATCAAGTCGTCCACATACACGCCGACGACGAGCTCTTCCTTCCCCCGTCGCCGTGTGTAGAGCGCGTGCTCGGTTGCACACCTCGTGAACCCAAGCTCGCCCAGCGTGGCGTCAAGCTTGTTGTTCCATGCTTGTGGGGCTTGCCGTGGCCCGTAGAGCGCCTTGCGCAGTCGGAGCACCCTGTGCTCCTCTCCCTTGACGGCGAAGCCTGGAGGTTGCCTGACGAAGACCATTTCCGTCAGCTCGCCGTTGAGGAAGGCCGATTTAACGTCCAAATGATGGACGCGCCAGTCCTTTGCTGCTGCCAAAGCTTGTAGCA